AAGGAAGGAAGGAAGGAAGGAAGGAAGGAAGGAAGGAAGGAAGGAAGGAAGGAAATACTTTTCTGCCGAGGAACTGTGATTTTTACCAGAATGGAGATACAAAATATTCAGATTCCACTAGATGGCAGCAAAGATTTAGAGTTTCTGTATTTCTATTGCCTTCTACTGGTTATCTGGATTTCTGCAGCCCAGATGTGGTAACCCTAGTTTAACTCATCTGCAAACGTAAGCAGATTGGTGAGCTTGTCAACTGATTGGTTAATACCTACATGATTAGTCAACTTACAGCCCATTTCAGGGGAGAAAAAAACCCACTGAATTAAACTATAATATCCTTCAGTTGATCCCTATTCTTGTACCCCAAGGGCGGTGCATGCTTCAGAAATTAATTGGAAGAAGTGCATTGGACTTTGGGCAAACACTATGTGGCTGCTTTAAGGCACCGATTCACTGAAATTAATGTAAACCTGAGAGCCAGTTTGGTGTAGTGATTAGGGCACCAGGCTAGAAACCAGGAGACTGTAAGTTCTAGTCCCACCGTAGGCATGAAACCAGCTGTGTGACCTTGGGCTGGTCACTTTCTCTCAGCTCTAGGGAGAAGGCAAAGGCAAGCAACTGCCCAGAATCTTGCCAAGTAAACTGCCTGGACTTGTCCAGGCAGTTGCCCCAGTCAACATCAAGAAAACGCCTTCAGGTCACTCAGGCACAAAAAAGTAAACCCCGTGCTTCTGGTCAGTCTTTGGCTTAGTGTGTCATGCTGGCCTCAGAAAATTGGTTCAGCTGAGATAAACAGATATCTGTACTGAGTTGTGAAACACTTAAATCCCTTGCAACTGTCTATGTACTTGAGCAACCTTTTTCTTACTCTAGAACAGTGTGGCTCAATCTCATCAACTTTAAGATGAGTGAACTTCAACTCCCAGAATTCCCCAGCCAGCAAAATTCTGGGAGCTGATGTCCACAGTTCTTAAAGTTACTGAGATTGAGAACCACTGCTATAGAAGCTCTCAGAGGAAGTAGAAACAATTTTCCTTACACCCACCTCATATTCATATGAACTCATTCCTGTTAGACCTCATCTCTTCATTTCATACTTTCCTATTCTTCCACCAAACTTTTTCAACCTGGTGCCCTCCACAAATGTCAGCCTGCATGTTTCCACTGTCATGTTTTGGAAAGGAGTAAACTCTAGAGGCCTCCATGGTTTGTTCAATCATGTATTAAATGCATATCCCACCTTTTGATCAGTATTTCAAGAGCGAGTTGAACCATCCTCCCATCTTTTCCCACAGTGACTATGGTGTGAGATGGGTTGGGCTTAAAGAGAGTTCCTGTGTCAAAGTCTCTCAGGGAACTTCCATAGCTGAAAGTGGATTAGAACATGGGCCTCCTCGGTCATAGTCCAGGACCTTCACCACTGCGTTGTACTGGAGCTCACTGTTTCATACCTCTGAACAAATAACGTTAGGCTTAGCTGGTGCCCTAACTGTTGACCTTCTCCCCCCCGCAACATTCCCCCCGCGCCGGGGGGGTTTGGGGGGTTGTGTAGCTCCCCTTCACACTGCTTTAATCGATTATGACC